ACCATGAAGTTGTTTGGTTCCTACAGTCCCTTTAAAGCCAAGTGCCAATAATGTACTGTATTGGACAATCACTGATTAAATAACATATCCCTACCAACACAAATATTAAAGAAACATACGGTGCACGCTTAGGACTGGTCAAAACAGCTGGGAGTTTTATATGCCTAGATTCTTTTAGGATCAGATGATTAAAATAGTAAATTAAAGGTGAAAGAGACACGAAGGGAACATTTTTGTGGGACTCTCTAGTCGTGGCCAGCCACTGACTCTCTCGTGGGATATGATATATGAAGGTATTATGATGCACATGTCAATGTAACTTAATCAGGTGGGAAAAGATATTTAGCTGATTTGATTTGTGTCGGCCATTCTGGACGGTCTGTGAAGACTCCATCAGTCCATCCCCAACAATGATAGCGCCAAATATTTGAGTGAGTAGCAGATAAAATAGTAAAAGGGAACGCGATTCCTATAGCATGTGTCTAAAAATATGTGAATAGTTCATTTTTTTAATTTAGTTTCCTACGGAAATTTTGATTGCTTCTCAAATGGAACAGGGGAGCCTACCACTCTTTGATCTCAAAACTCGAAAGGGCACTATAGTAGCTCTGGTTTTGTCATTATGTTCAGCGTTGCCATTTTCGTTGCCTGTGATTCTGTGGAACAAAGGGGAGAAAACTAAAAAGGAGATCAAAAGCATTAAACATGCCACGCAAATCACCCCCACAAAATTTCAGACAGTGGAGGTTGCCGATGACAAAAAAATGGGATCTTTCTTCTCTGGACTCAGAACAAAATGAAACCAAACAGCAGTTCCCTAGTACCAACCGCCCAGCGTGCTCTATGATGCAACAGGCACATACACATAGAACGCTACGAATGCAACATAAGCAAACAGATACAAAAACAAAGTACAATTAGCGGGCAAAGAGACAGCTTTCGCAGTTTCACGGTAGGACATGGCCGCAATTTATCGAGAAGCGCATTTGAGAGATGAGAAGCGCTTCCGAAAATCTTAAGGCATGAGCAAACCAAACGAATCGAACCATGTTGAAAAAAGCCTCACCTTTCTTGGGCTCGACGCGGCCATTCGTCGAGCAGGATGCATGCCCGGGATCATCGGAGACATAGCCGGCCCCGTCGTCTCCTCCCCTACCACCACCCACTCCTCCCGCCGGCGGCGACGAGCCCCCGGACCCGCCCCCGAGCGAGGTTGCGATGCAGCTCATGCTGGCGCTCTTCTTCATCACCGCCGGCGTCGGCGCCGTTGTGAGCCGCACGCCAAATAGCCTCACCCCGCCGTCGTCGGAGCGGGCGGGGCAGGTGCGCGAGTTGTGGCCGTTGTTGCTGCAGTGCGAGCACCGTCGCGTCATCGTCTCCGGCGAGGAGGCTCTGGTACGTGCAACGCTCGCGGACGCGTGGGCTTCGTACGTGCGACGAGCAGCGAGCGTTCCTAATGCGACGCCGTGTGCTCTGGGTTGCTCTCTCTCTTCTCTCTTCTTCGGAGGAGACGATATTTTTGGGAGTACGATATGTGTTTAAAAGAACAGAGCGAGACAAAATGACGATAAAGTACACCACCTTCCGTTTAACGGATGGCGGTAAACTTCGACAAAACACAACCACTCAACTATACTCCTATTTCTCCTCGCGATGTTTATTTGTATCACCGGTTTAAGACCCATCAATTTCGGAATGAGTATTGGTGTAAAATTCTTGCAAAAATATCTTCATTGATTATTATGTATCAAGAAAAAGAAAACGACTACTCTATAGGAGATTTTGGTGAAGCAAATTATTGCCTTGCGTACTTAATTTTTTTAGTTTTGACAAGTTCATATGAAAAAATATGTAAACATCTGCAGCATCACTAGATTCATTAGATACGCCATGACATATATTTTTGATAGCGTATTTATTTGCTATTGTAGACCATTCAGTTAGCAAAGTCATAACTGTTAAGCTCTAGAGCAGATTCGCATGGAATTATCTCATACAAGGGAATTATTTTGAAGATTTTGCTCTCTCTTGCAACATGGAATTATCTCAAACTCACAGCAGTATAACTTATTCACCTCATAACCATTAGCGCAGCTGATTCAACACCAGTACCATCGTTTGTAAGAAAAAGCTAGTGATACTATATACACTACCTTAACATGTAAGCAAACCATGAAGTTGTTTGGTTCCTACAGTCCCTTTAAAGCCAAGTGCCAATAATGTACTGTATTGGACAATCACTGATTAAATAACATATCCCTACCAACACAAATATTAAAGAAACATACGGTGCACGCTTAGGACTGGTCAAAACAGCTGGGAGTTTTATATGCCTAGATTCTTTTAGGATCAGATGATTAAAATAGTAAATTAAAGGTGAAAGAGACACGAAGGGAACATTTTTGTGGGACTCTCTAGTCGTGGCCAGCCACTGACTCTCTCGTGGGATATGATATATGAAGGTATTATGATGCACATGTCAATGTAACTTAATCAGGTGGGAAAAGATATTTAGCTGATTTGATTTGTGTCGGCCATTCTGGACGGTCTGTGAAGACTCCATCAGTCCATCCCCAACAATGATAGCGCCAAATATTTGAGTGAGTAGCAGATAAAATAGAAAAAGGGAACGCGATTCCTATAGCATGTGTCTAAAAATATGTGAATAGTTCATTTTTTTAATTTAGTTTCCTACGGAAATTTTGATTGCTTCTCAAATGGAACAGGGGAGCCTACCACTCTTTGATCTCAAAACTCGAAAGGGCACTATAGTAGCTCTGGTTTTGTCATTATGTTCAGCGTTGCCATTTTCGTTGCCTGTGATTCTGTGGAACAAAGGGGAGAAAACTAAAAAGGAGATCAAAAGCATTAAACATGCCACGCAAATCACCCTCACAAAATTTCAGACAGCGGAGGTTGCCGATGACAAAAAAATGGGATCTTTCTTCTCTGGACTCAGAACAAAATGAAACCAAACAGCAGTTCCCTAGTACCAACCGCCCAGCGTGCTCTATGATGCAACAGGCACATACACATAGAACGCTACGAATGCAACATAAGCAAACAGATACAAAAACAAAGTACAATTAGCGGGCAAAGAGACAGCTTTCGCAGTTTCACGGTAGGACATGGCCGCAATTTATCGAGAAGCGCATTTGAGAGATGAGAAGCGCTTCCGAAAATCTTAAGGCATGAGCAAACCAAACGAATCGAACCATGTTGAAAAAAGCCTCACCTTTCTTGCGCTCGACGCGGCCATTCATCGAGCAGGATGCGTGCCCGGGATCATCAGAGACATAGCCAGCCCCGCCGTCTCCTCCCCTGCCACCACCCACTCCTCCCGCCGGCGGCGACGAGCCCCCGGACCCGCCCCCGAGCGAGGTTGCGATGCAGCTCATGCTGGCGCTCTTCTTCATCACCGCCGGCGTCGGCGCCGTTGTGAGCCGCACGCCAAATAGCCTCACCCCGCCGCCGTCGGAGTGGGCGGGGCAGGTGCGCGAGTTATGGTCGTTGTTGCTGCAGTGCGAGCACCGTCGCGTCATCGTCTCCGACGGGGAGGCTCTGGTACGTGCAACGCTCGCGGACGCGTGGGCTTCGTACGTGCGACGAGCAGCGAGCGTTCCTAATGCGACGTCGTGTGCTCTGGGTTGCTCTCTCTCTTCTCTCTTCTTCGGAGGAGACGATATTTTTGGGAGTACGATATGTGTTTAAAAGAACAGAGCGAGACAAAATGACGATAAAGTACACCACCTTCCGTTTAACGGATGGCGGTAAACTTCGACAAAACACAACCACTCAACTATACTCCTATTTCTCCTCGCGATGTTTGTTTGTATCACCGGTTTAAGACCCATCAATTTCGGAATGAATATTGGTGTAAAATTCTTGCAAAAATATCTTCATTGATTATTATGTATCGAGAAAAAGAAAACGACTACTCTATAGGAGATTTTGGTGAAGCAAATTATTGCCTTGCGTACTTAATTTTTTTAGTTTTGACAAGTTCATATGAAAAAATATGTAAACATCTGCAGCATCACTAGATTCATTAGATACGCCATGACATATATTTTTGATAGTGTATTTATTTGCTATTGTAGATGTTAATATATTTTTGTATATAAAGTTTGGTCAAAGTTAGACAAATTTAACTTAAAGACAAAGCTAAAACGACTTACAATTTGGAACAGAGGCTACGAATCATGTGAATTTGTTCATAAGCCAAAATGTAATTATAAATTATAAAGAGAGAAAATAACTTTTAAAAAAACAAAAGTTCCGTTATGTCACTGACATGTGGGTCCACCACTTGCCAGGTATTCTACCAAGCCGAGGTTTTCTTCAAGCGTTGCGTATTAAGAAAACTTGTTGGATTATTTGCGACATGTGTATGTGCTTAGCCATCACGTGTCGTCATTTGAGAGATTCGCTGAGGTCCGCCGCCTGGATTTGCATGCATGCGCTGAGATGACCGCCTAGAGAGATAGATCAGTGACAGTGAGCTCATTATAGTATGCTAGGATTAATTACTTCCACGACTTACTTGACTAGCATGTTGGATCTTTACTTTGTTGACATGTTTATTTGAAGTTTGAACGAATCAACTAGTCAGAAATTACGTACATCGTTCTTTCTCTCTCAAATCTCAATGTACGTGTTGAACAGATTGTCTGAGCTAGCTCATTTTGACGTATTTGTTGCTTCAATTGTTCCATGGAAAAAGACATCGGCTACTGAGGAAGTTGAGGCTGAAGATGAACTCGACGATTTCTGCACAAATAGAAAACTGTGACCGGGAGGATTTGAAACTCAATGCCATCCTGACCGAGATCAGATTTAGGAATGATCAATCAATCTCAAGATCTCATGAGATAGGTGTCCAAGCATTCAGAATTGAGATGCAGAGCTTAACTTGCTTGTTTGACACGGGCGTGCTTGACTCCATCACACTAATGTACGACAGTGTAATCTTGCACCGATCCTGCATTGACGGACTCAATTCAGGAGTCATATTCTGGGACGATTTGGGAGAATTCTTCCCTCGTCATGTACTGGATATCCTGAGATTTGAGATCAAACCGAATCGTGATCCTGATACCGTCGACCGACTCGAGACATATTTTTGCTTGGCATGGCGATTTCAGCATCAGCTATAGACAGCTAGCTTCTTACTTTGAGCTGGTGAGTACTATTGGCAGAAAACGTCTCAATGTCTTGCATTTGCAATTAATATAGTATCTTGCATTGATCGCGAGGTTGACAATTGTTACCTTTGTAATACTTCTTTGCTGAACCAGTGCGCTCGTTAATAGCCGGATCATTTCCACCGGTCATCAGCCCATCCATCACCTGCACCACGTGAAGTAGAAAGATGCATGAATTACACTTGATTTTCTTTCTGTTAGTTGGAGATTGGTTTAAGGAAATGAAATGAGTGTTTTTATTTCAACCGAGCAATAAATTAAGTGCACTGGAGAAGGGTCGTTTGGTTTCATACCTCCATCAGATTCAGATGGGCCGGTTCGTACCATCTGTTCCATTGACGTCGCTCTCTGTGTATAAATAAAAAGTTTTTTTAATGGAAAAAATGAGTAATTCTACATATGCCAGTTTCATATGCGATGCAGTTTATGCACTGTTAGTGGAGTATGTCAACTCGTCGTGCATTCGCCCAAAATAAGCAAGGTCAACTCGTCATTCGCCTGAAATAAGCAAGGTCAACTCTTCAGGAGAAAGATTTATACAGGTAACACATATATACACTGCAATAGACTACAGGAATGTTTGTTTGATGGAACTGATAAGTTCACAGCAGCAGCAACGTCGCAACGACAATATATTGACACTAAAGTCAGCAGCTCTGTTAGCATCATGATTGGCTGAACAGTTGCTTCTTCAACTTCAGAAGAATAGTATACAAGTCATGCGAAAGAAACAGTCAAATATGCAACCCACGAGTTCAGGAGAGATGAACTGCATTTTTATTACTCTAGCCTCAAAATGTCAGCGCATCCTCCAAAAGTCAAGCACACTTGATAATGATTTATAACATGCTCATTTTGTTGTTTCAACTGCTTTTCAATATGATCCATAGAATTTAGATGATGAACCATTAATAATCTTCCATGAAAATTCTACTATTTTAAACTAAAGTCAACTAGTACTAGAAAATGTGCCAAATATTTATGTTTTTTTCAAGATGTGTATCCTATAAAATTGCTCAGGACTAAGCATGGAGTACTGATAATAAAAGATGAAAACATTTTGATTCTGTTAATAATTATATATAGATGTATAAAAATTTCAAAATATAAAACTGGCTTTGTGTCTGCCCTCACATACTAAATGATTGGAAGTCCACCACTCCAGGTTCAGCAATATAATTTGTCATGCTGGTAGTATGTTACTGTCAACATATCTTCTGTAGAATTGTGCCTGGTAATCCTATGCCCTCATTTTCGGCATGTAGTCGGGTCGTTTTCTATCTATTAATGAAATGACACGTGTTCGAGAAAAAAAAAATCCTATGCCCTCATTTCTAACATTGAGACTGTATTGGACACTCATATTCATTGCCTTATCCTGCATGAATTCACAAAATGTATCCCAACACTATGGTAGCATATTATATGCTCTGGTCTGCAGTGACCAGCAAATAGATAGCAGCAGCCATGGAGAACAGGACATGGCTACCTGGAAATAAGAACTTTTGTTTCAATACGCACACTGTCAAATGACTGGAACTAATCGAATGACCTGTGACATCTGAAAAATCACCAGCTATTGTCCTTAGTGCACCAGTACCAAGATGTAATCCATTTTACTCGTTGATAACACAAACATGCAAGAACCAGAACCAAGCCATCAGTAGGTGAACATGAAGCGGCAGGAGGGCAAACAAGACAAGTGGCCTTCATTGGGCATCCTAAGTAGATAGTCGTTGTAGACAATTTTACATTTTGTAAATAGGTTGCTAAGATGATTGTGTAAACTAACTCGCACCCTCCTTCCATTAATTTCCAAGCATTTATAGGCATCTAAGATGAAAGTGCACATTTTGCAGAATTGTCTGTAGTTCAGGTGCTGACTATAAAAGGCTGATAGCTGCTTTTCTGCATTTCAGATGTCTTAGGCTCCTAAGATGCCAATATCACGGTGTTGGTCTCAAAAAATGAACTCAATTGATTATGGAATAAGGAAAAGAAAAAAAAAACACTAGACCAACCTACAAGGAACTAGGTGATTTTATATTAAGAAGAAAATAAGCATCTAAATTCGCTAGACAATGAGAGGGTACATCAGCACCTTCAACTAACTGAGCTAGGCTCAGCTTCCTAAGGAATAAGGATACAGATGTTGATCACTACAAGACAAGAATGACTGCTCAGTGCTGTTTGTGTACTCGATGCAGTTCAAAATTTCAAACGGCCATAAGTTGTATCATAATGGTGAGATTGTCAGCAGGCCTCCGTGCAAAAATATGAAGCTCATAACTAACAAACTAAGACCATGCATGGGGAAGGGTTAGCTAAACCAGTAAGGTTCAAGTTTGAGTTAATTTCCCACTGAGTTACATCAACACGGAGAGTCAGAAGATGTCGTTGCAAGGGCTGAAAAATCACTAAAATGCAGCCCGTCTCACCCTGAGGACCCACTACCTACTCAAATTATCATCCCATCCTCAAAAATCGATAGGAAACTCCTCTACACCCAAGACCACTCCCTCAACATTAGCCCCATGGATGATGATGAATCAGAAAAGGTAGTGCATATAGCATCCCAACAGGAACTAGTTCAGTCTGTCATTGATGGTGTGATATTTTCTTTGACATATGTATCTCTACATTTGTCGATGACAAAGAACATAAGATGGAAATAGAATAACTTAGTTGTTACAGAAGTACATGCACACATTCTGGGGTATTGGGACCAATAGTATAATATGTAAGACTCATGCCCTGTTCCTCAGCAGTACTTTTCAACGAAGGAATAGTGTTTTTCTCTCACAAAAAATCAACATCAGCAGCAGCCATATTCCAATGGTCCTGTTCCATGCTTCCTCAAACGGCATGAATTGTCTCTTGCTTAGTTCAGGTCTATTCATTGGTGAACTCACATGAAAAGCCGACTGCCTTGTATCCATCGATCCAATAAGCTGAAGGGAAAGAGCTGTGGGTTCCATGGAGCCAGAGCTGGCCTCACCAATGCTGAGCTTAGACATACCAACAACATCATCTGCCTTAATCACCTCCTTACCATTCAAAGGAGTTGGTTTTAGGATTTCATGGGTTGTACCTGCTTCCTCCACATGGGCAACACTCGTAGGCCAAAGAGTTAGTGGAACAGGGACAAACGCAGGGTAGAATGTTGGCACCGTCGGAACAGCTATGGTATTGAATGGTACACTGGAGTGCATCTCTAAATCTGGTAGTGTCAATGAAGGTTCTGCATATTTAGATTCCTCATGCTGCCTTAGCTGAAAAGTTAGCGATTGCTTAGCAAACTCTGCTTCCTTCTGATGCCAAAGATGTAAGGTCGGCAGTTGATTTGAACTTGTAGCTTCATCTTGAGTATTTTGGATAGTACTTTGTTCCACAGCAGCTAGAGACTCATTCATTTGCTACAGATTGAAGAGGGCAGCACGAAGATTAGAATGAAAGCGCATAGTGAATATAGACCAGCTCCAACATTAGAGTATTATAAGAAAAGAAAAAGCATACCATTTCTGCAACCATGTCAAACAAGAAGCATACCATTTCTGCAACCATGTCAATGTCTAATAAAGTACCTCTGAGCATGGCTTGCCACTTGAGTTGGGGTCCTAGAAACAACAAAGTTTCAAGATATTCTGCGCCAGTCTCCCTTACCAAGCTTCTGAAGACCCATCAGAAACATTCTATGCTCTTCTTCAGTCCAAGGTGTACCTGAAGCACAACAGTAGTCCCTTTAAAGTGGTGATGCGCACATCAAATAACTATAGAGAGAGAAAAATACACAATAACACATTTCTCCAAAATATATTCATTTTAGAGAAGATAGTTGTTCCCTTGAGATTTGGCTCGCATGAATCTAAAGTTCATTCGTGCAAGATTCAACTCTTAGGCACAAGACCACCCCAGAACCACACGACCACAAGAATAGTCCCATAAAGGTCAAAGAAAAGCAAACTTATAATCTCATTGTTGGATATGTTTGCTTTAAAGACTGGAGAAGGTGATTGGCCCAGGCATCCGATTTTGGACACTTGGGGTCGTATAGACCTGCCTAGAGGACTCCAGGCTAAGGTACGAACCAAACAAGCCATTGCCCACAGTTACATTCATGCTCAACTGGATTGGTAAAATGATATGTATAACTTCTACTTAATATAAATGAAAGGTGACTCCTTCGTGTTTGAGAAAATAAAATGTAAGGTGGTTCTCCTGCTAATTCACATGAAAAAAAGCCAAATAGGCTTTGTCCCCATCTGCATTTTTTGAATCAAAATGTGGAGACACCTAAACAAGAGAGTTTCAGAGAATGCCAAACTCACATGCAACAGACGGCCTTAAAAATAGTTTTCAAGAAAAGGTGAGAACATTTACATACTGAAACATTGAATATGTCTAACTTAACTGCCTAGAAAAAAAGGTAAAAAGGCCATGACAAACAAGCTTTGAACAACTAAACCCATCAGCTAATTTATTTCGTAAGCTATCTATACTCAAATTCTGGTTAAGAGAAACATGACAAGAGAAATATATGCTGATCCCAAAGTTCAGCTATTTCAATTGGAAGCACAGGCAAACAGCTGTAGCAATACTATGATGCGCTGAGTTGAAGAAGTCATCAAACAGCAGAAGTGGCTCAGAACTCTTACGGAGAAGAAGACATCCTAACTTATAACATTTAAGCTTACATTTCTAAGCAATGCAAGGCAGACCCTTGGTGGAGGATGATAAGATTTTCATATGCTTATTTGTTACATGAGACAAAAAAGAACAAGACTCGAAAGAGGAGAAACTCCAATCAATGAATGATATTGTTTCCATACAAAATGAATTGTTTCATCTGTGTGTGCATCCCCTATGTTCAAAAACATAGTACAAATGATAATGTGCTAAATATTATGTTGGTCTAGGTACCTTCATGACAACTTGGCTAACACACATTTTTAGCATAAAGTGTACGAGAGACATGAAGGGGACACTTTTGTGGGACTCTGTAGTCGTGGCCAGCCACTGACTCTCTCGTGGGATGTGATATATGAAGGTAATGTGATGCACATGTCAATGTAACTTAATCAGGTGGGAAAAGATATTTAGCTGATTTGATTTGTGTCGGCCATTCTGGACGGTTCTGAAGACTCCATCAGTCCATCCCCAACAATAATAGCGTCAAATATTTGAGTGAGTAGCAGATAAAGTAGTAAAAGAGAATGCGATTACTATAGCATGTGTTTAAAAATATTGATATCAAGTGTGAATAGTTCATTTTTTTAATTTAGTTTCCTACAGAAATTTTGATTGCTTCTCAAATGAAACAGGGGGGCCTACCATTCTTTGATCTCAAAACTCAAAAGGACACTATAGTAGCTCTGGTTTTGTCATTATGTTCAGCGTTGTCATTTGCGTTGCCTGTGATTCTGTGGAACAAAGGGGAGAAAACTAAAAAGAAGATCAAAAGCATTAAACATGCCACGCAAATCACCCCCACAAAATTTCAGACAGTGGAGGTTGCTGATGACAGAAAAAATGGGATCTTTCTTCTCTTGACTCAGAACAAAATAATACCAAACAGCAGTTCCCTAGTACCAACCGCCCAGCGTGCTCCATGATGCAACAGGCACATACACATAGAACGCTACAAGTGCAACATAAGCAAACAGATAAAAAACAAAGTACAATTAGCGGGCGAAGAGACAGCTTTCGCAGTTTCACGGTCGAACATGGCCGCAATTTATCGAGAAGCGCATTTGAGAGATGAGAAGAGCTTCCGACAATCTTAAGGCATGAGCAAACCAAACGAATCGAACCATGTTGAAAAAAGCCTCACCTTTCTTGCGCTCGACGCGGCCATTCATCGAGCAGGATGCGTGCCCGGGATCATCAGAGACATAGCCAGCCCCGCCGTCTCCTCCCCTGCCACCACCCACTCCTCCCGCCGGCGGCGACGAGCCCCCGGACCCGCCCCCGAGCGAGGTCGCGATGCAGCTCATGATGGCGCTCTTCTTCATCGCCGCCGGCGTCGGCGCCGTTGTGAGCCGCACGCCAAATAGCCTCACCCCGCCGTCGTCCGGGCCAAGGCGAGGCGAGTCGCGAAGTTGTGGCCGTTGTTCTTTGCGAAAGGCGAAAGCACCGTCGCGTCATCGTCTCCGGCGAGGAGGCTCGAAAATACGTCTGTAACGCTTCGCGACAGCGTGGGCTTCAGACGTCGACGACGAAGCGTGGAAAGGCTCCTAATGCGACGCCGTGTGCTCTGGGTTGCTCTCTCTCTTCTCTCTTCTTCGGAGGAGACGATATTTTTGGGAGTACGATATGTGTTTAAAAGAACAGAGCGAGACAAAATGACGATAAAGTACACCACCTTCCGTTTAACGGATGGCGGTAAACTTCGACAAAACACAACCACTTCAACTATACTCCTATTTCTCCTCGCGATGTTTATTTGTATCACCGGTTTAAGACCCATCAATTTCGGAATGAGTATTGGTGTAAAATTCTTGCAAAAATATCTTCATTGATTATTATGTATCAAGAAAAAGAAAACGACTACTCTATAGGAGATTTTGGTGAAGCAAATTATTGCCTTGCGTACTTAATTTCATAAGCATGAAATCATCACATCTTTGGCTCAAGTAGAAGGATACATCGAGGGCAGATTTATGTATTTCTATTTGTTCACTGACCACATGCGTAGCACTGAATTAGAATTGAGTGACCGATGACGTGTCCACCGACCATGAGACGTTTATAATAATAACTTCGTTAATTTTGAGATCTATGGTCCAACATAGTCTGCCGGGTCGCTCATGAAGATAGAGTGCGTAGGTGCGTCATATAGGGGTGAGTGTATGTGCGTTATATAGGGGTGAGTATACGTGTATGGCATTTGCGTGTACCATGTCTTCAAAAAGAGTGATACTGGTGTATTAACCATTTTCAAAGATAAAATAATATTCATTTCATCTCAAAATAGATTAACTATAGAATCACCCTAAGTCAAAATATCTTAAGTTTGACCAATTTTATAGAAAATGGTAACAACATTTGTAACAACAAAATAAAGTACATTATAAAAAATATATTTTATATATGATACATCTAGTGATACTAATTTGGTGTCCTAAATATTGATGTTTTCTGTACATTTAGTTAAATTTAAATCAGTTTAACTTATAATAACTCTAGAAGTTGATTTAGTTTAGCTATTTATGAGTGAAAGGAGACAAATGTATTATTCAACATCACATCGTCTAAGTTATCGACTAGAAACTATGAGCATGTTTGTTTTTTCTGAACATGGATAGACCATTCGAACGAGAAACAAATGTGGCTCAAAAGTGGGCTGAGAGAACCCGTGCGTGGCTAAGCCTGTGAGAAACAAAAGTTGATTTCCAGACAAACAAACACGTCCTATAAACTTTTCTCATCCCAACCCAATACGGCAACATAGATGATCATGTTCATGATCTTATGACGATTTATCCCAACATCAACATGGAAGCCAAAGCTTCTACCGGGCTATGACCCGTCGTCCGGGTTCCAGGACAACCGTGTAGATGCAGAGTGCAGACAGGGACACAGGGGCGGGGGTATTCCGGGCATGGGCACCTCTGGATCACGAGGGCGGCGCTAAAGGCCTTCAGCGGTTCCGAGGCGATAAGAGAGCCGGGCCTGGTGGGCAGCCGCAGAGCCGAACACGTCGCGCTACGCGGGTTGACCTGCTGGGCTCACGGGCGGAGGATGGATGGGGCGCTAGCGCCACTGCCGCAGATTTCCGCGTGTCCGGCCGTGTTTTTCCTTCCCCGTTGACCGTTCCTTCCGGCGGGGACCTGCTGTGGACGGGGCTAACGGAGAAGGACGACGGCGTTACCGTGTAAACCGACCGGGCATGGTACGCCAATGTCGGTGTGGCAGGCTGCGTGTGGGGTGTGGGTGCTACGAATCCAAAGAGCTAGCGACGAGGTTTAAACCTCGTGTGGTGGTGCTGTGTTGAGGCAATCAAGAGAGCTGTGCCATGCATGCACTGAGGATGAGCTTTGTTCTGGGGCTTTTGGCCTTTTCATTCACTCACTCCACGACGTTGCCTGCGCTTCGCCTTGGCTGTGCCTTTGTTGGAAAGATGCATCGGTCGAGATCAAACAAGGAGGACGGGCAAACAAAAGTATAGCCAGTAAATATATATGCGCGCACACACACTGCCGGAGACGATGACGCGACGGTGCTCGCACTGCAGCAACAACGGCCACAACTTGCGCACCTGCCCCGCCCGCTCCGACGGCGGGGTGAGGCTATTTGGCGTGCGGCTCACAACGGCGCTGGTGCCGGCGGCGATGAAGAAGAGCGCCAGCATGAGCTGCATCGCGACCTCGCTCGGGGGCGGGTCCGAGGGCTCATCGCCGCCGGCGGGAGGAGTGGGTGGTGGCAGGGAGGAGACGGCGGGGCCGGCTATGTCTCTAATGATCCCGAGCACGCATCCTGCTCGACGAATGGCCGCGTCGAGCGCAAGAAAGGTGAGGCTTTTTTCAACATGGTTCGATTCGTTTGGTTTTGGTTTGCTCATGCCTTAAGATTTTCGGAAACGCTTCTCATCTCTCAAATGCGCTTCTCGATAAATTGCGGTCATGTCCGACCGTGAAACTGCGAAAGCTGTCTCTTTGCCCGCTAATTGTACTTCGTTTTTGTATCTGTTTGCTTATGTTGCACTCGTAGCGTTCTATGTGTATGTGCCTGTTGCATCATGGAGCACGTTGGGCGGTTGTTACTATGGAACTGTTGTTTGGTATCATTTTGTTCTGAGTCAAGTAAAGAAAGATCCCATTTTTTCTGTCATCGGCAACCTCCACTGTCTGAAATTATGTGGGGTTGATTTGCGTGGCATGTTTAATGCTTTTGATCTCCTTTTCAGTTTTCTCCCCTTTGTTCCACAGAATCACAGGCAACGAAAATGACAACGCTGAACATAATGACAAAAACAGAGCTACTATAGTGCTCTTTCGAGTTTTGAGATCAGAGAGTGGTAGGGCCCCCCTGTTCCATTTGAGAAGCAATCAAAATTTTCGTAGGAAACTAAATTAAAAAACGAACTATTCACACTTGATATCAGTATTTTTAGACACGTGCTATAGGAATCGCGTTCCCTTTTACTACTTTATCTGTTCCTCACTCAAATATTTGGCGATATTATTGTTTGGGATGGACTGATGAAGTCTTCAGAAACCGTCCAGCATGGCCGACACAAATCAAATCAGCTAAATATCTTTTTCCACCTGATTAAGTTACATTGACATGTGCATCACAATACCTTCATATATCACATCCCACGAGAGAGTCAGTGGCTGGCCACGACTACAGAGTCCCACAAAAGTGTCCCCTTCATGTCTCTTTCACCTTTAATTTACTATTTTAATCATCTGATTCTAAAAGAATCTAGGCATATAAAACTGTTTTGACCAGTCCTAAGCGTGCACCGTATGTTTCTTTAATGTATTTGTGTTGGTAGGGATATGTTATTTAATCAGTGATTGTCCAATACAGTACATTATTGGCACTTGGCTTTAAAGGGACTGTAGGAACCAAACAACTTCATGGTTTGCTTACATGTTAAGGTAGAGTATATAGTATCACTAGCTTTTTTTTACAAACGATGGTACTGGTGTTGAATCAGCTGCGCTAATGGTTCTGAGGTGAATAAGTCTGCTGTGGGTTTGAGATAATTCCATGTTGCAAGAGAGAGCAAAATCTTCAAAATAATTCCCTTGTATGAGATAATTCCATGCGAATCTGCTCTAGAGCTTAACAGTTATGACTTTGCTAACTGAATGGTTTATCATGCTTAATCTGCTCTAGAGCTTGACAGTTATGACTTTGCTAACTGAATGGTTTATCATGCTTAATCTGTCGTAGAGCTTGACAGTTATGACTTTGCTAACTGAATGGTTTATCATGCTTGCTGGACTATCCTATTTCCGATGCTTTTAAATTTGGAAGGTCTTAAACCATGTGCATCAAGTTCAAGTGGTCTCTCGTACACTTTATGCTAAAAATGTGTGTTAGCCAAAGTTACCATGAAGGTACCTAGACCAATATAATATTTAGCACATTATCATTTGTACTATGGTTTTGAACATAGGGGATGCACACACAGATGAAACAATTTATTTTGTATGGAAACAATATCATGCATTGATTGGAGTTTCTGCTCCACGTCTTATCTGGTCGGTAGACAATATCTGATTACCTCTTCCGAGTTTTGTATTCTTTTTTGTCTCATGTAACAAATAAGCATATGAAAATCTTATCATCCTCCACCAAGGGCCTGCCTTGCCTTGCTTAGAAATGTAAGCTTAAATGTTATAAGTTAGGATCTCTTCTTCTCCGTAAGAGTTCTGAGTCACTTCTGCTATTTGATGACTTCTTAAACTCAGCGCATCATAGTATTGCTATAGTTGTTTGCCTATGCTTCCAATTGAAATAGCTGAACTTTGGGATCAGCATATATTTCTTCTTGTCATGTTTCTCCTAATCAGAATATGAGTATAGATAGCTTGCGAAATAAATTAGCTTGTCATGGCCTTTTTACCTTTTTTTTAGACAGTTAAGTTAGTCATATTCAATGTTCTATTATGTAAATGTTTTTACCTTTTCTTAAAAACTATTTTTAAGGTCGTCTGTTGCATGTGAGTTTGGCATTCTCTGAAACTCTCTTGTTTAGGTGTCTCCACATTTTGATTCAAAAAATGCAGATGGGGACAAAGCCTATTTGCCTTTTTTCATGTGAAATAGCAGGAGAACCACCTTTCATTTTATTTTCTTAAAAGGAGCCACCTTTCATTTATATTAAGTAGAAGTTATACATATCATTTTGCCAGTCCAGTTGAGCAGGATTTGAACTGTGGGTAATGGCTTGTTTGGTTCGTATCCTGGCCTGGAGTCCTCTAACTAGGCAGGTCCATACGACCCCAAGTGTCCAAAATCGGATGCCTGGGCCAGCCACCTTCTCCAGTCTTCAAAGCAAACATACCCAACAATGGAATTATAAGTTTGCTTTTCTTTGACCTTTATGGGACTATTCTTGTGGTCGTGTGGTTCTGAGTGGTCTTGTGCCTAAGAGTGGAATCTTGCACGAATAAACTTTAGATTCACGCTAGCCAAATTCCAAGGGAACAACTGTCTTCTCTGAAATGAATATATTTTAAAGAAATGTGTTATTGTGTATTTTTTTTCCCTCTATAGTTATTTGGTGTGTGCATCACCACTTTAAAGGGACTACTTTTGTGCTTCAGGTACACCTTGGACTAAAGAAGAGCACATAATGTTTCTGATGGATCTTTAGAAGCTTGGTAAGGGAGACTGACGCGGAATATCTCAAAACTTTGTTGTTTCCAGGACCCCAACTCAAGTGGCAAGCCATGCTCAGAGGTACTTTATTAGACAGACAAACTCATCAAGACGGAAGAGGCGGTCAAACTTGTTTGACATGGTTGCAGAAATGGTATGCTTTCTCTTTTCTTGTAATACTCTAATGTTGAAGCTGGTCTATATTCACTATGCGCTTTCATTCTAATCTTCGTGCTGCCCTCTTCAATCTGCAACTAATGAATGAGTCTCTAGCTGCTGTGGAACAAAGTACTATCCAAAATACTCAAGATGAAGCTACAAGTTCAAATCAACTGCCGACCTTACATCTTTGGCATCAGAAGGAATGCTAAGCAATCGCCAACTTTTCAGCTAAGGCAGCATGAGGAATCTGAATATGCAGAACCTTCATTGACACTACCAGATTTAGAGATGCACTCCAGTGTACCATTCAATACCATAGCTGTTCCAACGGTGCCAACATTCTACCCTGCGTTTGTCCCTGTTCCAATAACTCTTTGGCCTCCAAGTGTTGCCCATGTGGAGGAAGCAGCACAACCCATGAAATCCTAAAACCAACTCCTTTGAATGGTAAGGAGGTGATTAAGGCAGATGATGTTGTTGGTATGTCTAAGCTTAGCATTGGTGAGGCCAGCTCTGGCTCCATGGAACCCACAGCTCTTTCCCTTCAACTTATTGGATCGATGGATACAAGGCAGTCAGCTTTTCATGTGAGTTCACCAATGAATAGACCTGCACTAAGCAAGAGAAACAGCAGTCCAATTCATGTCGTTTGAGGAAGCATGGAATAGGACCACTGGAATATGGCTGCTGCTGCTGATGTTGATTTCTTGTGAGAGAAAAATAATGTTCATTCGCTGAAAAGTACTGCTGAAGAACAAGGCACAAGTCTTACATATTATACTATTGGTCCCAATACCCCAGAATGTGCGCATGTACTTCTATAACAACTAAGTTATTCTGTTTCCATCCTATGTTCCTTGTCATCGACAAATGTAGAGATACATATGTCAAGGAAAATATCGCACCATCAATGCCAGACTGAACTGGTTCCTGTTGGGATGCTATATGCACCTACCTTTTCTGATTCATCATCATCCATGCTTGGGAAAATTTTGATGTGTAAATTTTGACATGTAGATGCTAGAATTTAGGCACGTTACGTTCCAACTACATATTTACAAACAAGTTTATTATTGTTACCATAAAACATCATCAGATGTCTTTGAACTTTAGGGCCCTGTTTGGATCCATGGGGCTGAAAATTCTAAGCTTCCAATAACTAGCATGTATTACATGTCAATGCAGACCTCTATTGTAATAACTCAATCCGCGGGGGGTATGACCTCCCCTAGGGCATTGCTAATTTGCTATTAAGGTAGAATACCTCAACCTTGTAGGCCGAGAAACCCCCTGAACCCTAACAGTGAAGACCCTATAGCACTGCACCGTAACCTAGGCCGGCTGCTACAGCCATCATGGGCCAACTGCCACCACCACCATTATCATAGGTCGGCACCCTGCCACTATTTTATGGGTTGCCAATGACGGTAAGGTGCTACCAACTTGTGTATAACAGTTACATTGAGTGTCTTAAGATAAAAATGAGAGGAAAACAAGCAAAATGAGCATACCTCAGTCATCTGTTTATGCCCACACAAAATTGCTCCCGCTGATGAAGGGTTTACAATATTCTTCATCCTTGAGAACACATTCTACAAAATGCAATAGAAACTCTATCACACACAAAAACACAACACACTAGAAATAACACGGAACTCAAAAGAGAACAGCACCTGGACATAACCTCGCTCCCCTGTCCATTGACCATCTGGTCTTGAGAGGACAGGTACAATTTTAACTCCTCTGGATTCCCAGTCATCAAACCTTTCCTGTCGGTGCACATAATCACCAGCCATTATAGACGGAATATGACAATATACAAACTGCACAACTAAGCTGACATAAACCTACCTGATATGCCATCCTCTGAAGATTTCTAGCCCCATAAAAGAGGCTTACATCAACTTTTTTGTTTTCAGCAAAACCTGACTCAATAAGTGACCGTATAGGGCTGCAATTAACAAATGTGGAGAGCCAGAATAATTATAATTATATATCCCAATGTAAGTAAATATGCATGTCTTGTACAAGTATACTTCCTACGCATTTGACAAGTATCTGTGCTTTCATAACATGGATATGCTTATCTAGAGAGCAGGCTTTCTAGACATAATGATGTTTGCAGCTGAATAAATCTGACAGAGCTATTCATGGGAATGATATTGCTCATCCATCGAAGCTTGAAGGGATAGATCAATCTAATCAAGAATTGGGCAATTGTCGGTAACATGCTTGGCACGGCATGTGGCAGCAACAACTGATGAGTGATCTGAAGAAGTGAAAACATAATAAATAGTATCTTGCAGCTAATGCCTTTTCATGTTTATATCTTCCACTGAGTATGTGCACGTTCCGATTATATGCCAACTCCCAAGAGCACTGAGGTTGGTTAAGCAATAATGAGAAACTTATGGCTCAAGGCTAGTTGGAAGTAATACTAGAAATAGCTCAGACAGTAGATAATATGGCAGCCCCACATAATTATCACAATTTAATAATTGTTCTTTTTTTCGCCACAATTCCGAATTGCATCAAACCGTGGATTGCTTGAGACCTAAAATGAAGCAATTGTGCATCGTGCAGCAGTATAAATGATGCGGGTTTGGCCAACGAAGGATGGTCGGAAAGGGCAGGGGTACCTGATCCCGGATCCGGTGGCGAAGACGAGAACGTCGCTGGCGTCGGCTATCCTGGCGACGTCAAATCCGCGGCCGACGACGCTGGCGCCAACATGGACGAGGTCGCCGGGGCGGAGATCACAGAGGCGCGCGGAGGGTGTTCCCGGGAGGCGCTTTACAAGGAATTCGAAGCAGGAGGCTGGCCCGGCTACGGCGGCTAAGGCCTCGGGGGCGGGTGGTGGAGGAGGGGATGCGATGGCGAGGAAGATGGGGTAGGGCGACGCGGGGAGGCGGAATGGGAGGAACTGGCCGGCGGTGGCGTGGGAGGCGAGGAGCCCCCGGTGCGCGGAGAGGTCGAGGGAGACGTGGAAGAGCGAGGCGTCGGCGGAAGTGGAGCCTCCGCCCACTCGGTTGGGGACTGGGGCAGGGCCGGGACCGCGGCGGTGAGCGCGGCAGCGGAGAGGAGCCGGAGGTGGTGCGGGCGAAGTAGGTGCAGGCGGCGTGGCGCGGAGCGCAGAAGCATGGAGGGTGTCCCCCCAAGCGGTGGTCGGCGATCTGCAGGGCGTGCAGGTGCCGCACCAGCGTGGTTAGGACTTCAGGAAAGGACAGGACGTGCAAAGCGAGCCAGCCGGCGAGGAGGGAGGGAAGGTGCATGGATCTCGCTGCACTCCCGCAAGGCCGGAAAGATGGGGAGGTGTACGCCTTCGATTTCTCCATTATTCAAGATATTAGAAACATACGCCGGCGGCCTACAGTACTGTTTGGGCTCTGACACGTCTGGCAGACAATCCTATACTGAATAAGACCATCTTTTGCATATCTACCTTTCCTCAGGTCTACATAGAGTTCTACATACTTCATCATGATCTTTTCGAGAGGCTTCTGCCATGCCCTGTACCTTTTCGAGGTAATGAGATCATGTAAAGCCTGCAGGGCTGCCTGCTTTTGCCCAACATGGATGAATTAGGATTTGAATTAATAATATGGATGAATTAGGATTTGAATCCTTAAGTTCCACTTGGCCAAATATGGAATACGATATAGAAACAGAACCATATTCAGTTCGACCATAGCAAATAGAGTTTATGCTATCAGATGCTTAAGTATCAGAAATCAATGCTAGGTTAGTGTTGGATCAGTTTGAATAGGGACCTCTTCATATAATGACCAAAAGCTAATTTCAGTATTGCACGGTGGGAAAAACAAAACCGAAGATTACCAAATTCAGACCATTATTAACAAGATATCAAAACCAATGAAATCATGTTAACAGCATTCACACAATGGAAAAGTTAAAACAATGCACACAAAACTAAAGATGTATGAATGTTAACATTGTAAATTTATACCTACAAAGTAACTTTTAAACTTTATGTCAAAAGAACTACAAGATTATGATTCAATTTCAACAGTTATGCAGAAGATCAAAATGAACTAAGGCTAAATAGCTAGTGGGCAACTTTCCAGGTAAATTAGGCAACATTTTGCTCATTCTTACTTAACAATTCACCACGATCATTTTGACTACAATACAGGATAACAGAAGACAATAATTTAATGATCAAAAATTTGCTTCCAAAAGGTAACCAAAGGTAATAATAACCAAGCAGAAGCGTGCCAACAAGTACAATCAACAAATGGTAAATCTTCTGCTAAAAAAAACAAATGGTAAATCTAATCAGTTCAAAATTCACTTGCCTTCACGTTTTCTAGCTTCCTCTTCCTCACGAAGCGTTTCAATCCGCTGTTCCTCCAGGTTCAGATAATACATCAACTTCCTTACTGTCTCCCTTTCACGCTTTCTTGATGATATCAACTGACTGATCCGTTCATCTCTCTCTCTCTTTAGACGACCAAACTCAGCTTCACGACGTTGGACAATTCTCTCCTGGAACGCGTTCTGCAACAGCGAAACAGAAAGTCAGTACGGCTATTATCTGTCTTCAACAAAGATATTAGAATATAGCTAGTTTGGCATCTCGTTAGTTAAGACACACAAAAGCATTTCAAATTTGAACATCAAGTTCTGTAAATGTCAATTAAAGGTAACACAGTGGCCACTGTCCAGCATTAGATTCTGAGCAATCTTATCTTGGTTATGTCAGGATCGGTAGTGCTATATACAACTGCTTGTTGCTGCTGCTACACTTTTCTTGAGTGAGCAAAAATGGAGGCTGATTTGGGCTGCTATACGCTAGTGGCTTTCTAAAAAAAATGTAGGTGATCCACTCTCTCTCTCCTATCCACTTTAAAGGTACTGGTAATCTGTTGGGATAGAAGGAAAAGGTACACCACTAATAATAGGAGATCACCTATATAGACTTTTAGGGGATGTAGGATAAGTAACCTGTTGGAGATGCTCTTACAAGCCAAGAAAAGACCCTTGATTTGCAAGCCTAAGACTACCAATAATTGCTAACCAAGTAAACTTGCTGACCAGGGGAGGGGGGTAGCCAACCGGACCTATTTTAACTCTATTAGCTAGGTAAAATTATTAACACAAGGATAATATTCAAACAGGTTATAGGGTGTACAGCATCACAAGTTGAATATATACCAAACAGAAGCCACCTGCCCTGTGATGTAGAGGCTTAATAACAAAGACATAAATAGCATACAACCTTGTGTTCCAACATTCGAGAAAGTCTATTTTTCTCTTGCAAGTCGCCAACATGGTGTTGCTTGCTGAGTTCAATCTCCCGCTGCAAGCAGAAATAAATGAATTAAGTGCTGACAGTTATCTGAACTGCATAAACAATAAATAAAAGAATAGTATAAAACTGACAAGCTGCTCTTGCTCGTGAAGGATCTTCTCTTCATCGAGACGTTTTTGGAAAGCTTGCTCAATCAGTGGTGCCTCTTCCTGCCTTTTTGCCCTTTCCAGATAATCCATTGTTTTTGCAAACTTCTGCAGTTTTTTCTCCATTTCCTGGCGCTCCTTCAACTGTTCATTCCGTGCCAATTCCATGATGGCCTCCTTAGTAAGCTCCTGCAACCAAACATTCAGATCTATAAGAATATATTGAAGAGGTTTAAAATTAAAGGATAGAATGGTAATTAAAGTTCCAACACTAGAATAGAGGATTTTAGGCCTTTAGCAGTGTGGTCAACATTACTTCAGTACAATGGCAGATGGTGATGGATGACACATGTGGATCAAATATAGTGATAATATCCAATTTAAAAGAGAGCAAGTGATAACAAGCTCATAGAACTTTAGAGACAAATGCAGCAAGATAATGCAAAACTGAAAATCAATAAATATAACTTTAATACCATTACCAAACGCACAACCATACGCCTTAGTATGTAGCCCCTCTAGGGATGGAAATGGATGTCTGTACATCCAAATTATTCAAATTCATATCCACTAAAACACGTACTATGGATATCCATCCCAAAAAGTGTACCCTCGCATTTCGATGAATCAACTAATTTCAAGTTTGAAAAGATTTATAGAAAATAGTATCAACATTTGTAATCCATATAGGTTTACTATGAAAATTGGCATGATTAATCTAATGATGTTTATTTGGTATCATAAATATTAGAATTTTTTTGTCTACATTTGGTCAAACTTGAGACTGGTGAACTGCTCGAAATGTAAGATGTGCACTTATTTTTGGACAGAGGGAGTACTTTATTTATGATTCAAAATGAAATTTAGTAATATTGTACTCTTGTACCATCGAATTTTAGTCCATAGCCAAAATAACATTCAATTATCCCATGAACCATATCAGAAATTTAAGTTTCACACATAACAAAAGGGAAGGAGCACACATGTGCCAACATGTTTGTACAAGATCCATATTTTAAATGAAGCAGGAAATAGAAGATCTGAGCCCAGCATGGAGTTCGCCTCCTTGTTCAAGCCAGATATTCCCAGTCGAAACCTTGGTCAAGTCTATGTCTACATCTACATCACCTATCTCCTACTGGCCATCTTATCCTCCACTAAAATCCGTATAGAAACTTAAAGCATATAATGGACCATTGTTTTCACAAACATAGATAGCAAGCAGTGCTAGTTGCTGTAAGACCATAACTGTTTCTTACCCCTTCAACAACGACATGTTTTTTCCCTGCCTTCTTCAAGTCTTCTAGCAACTTTTTTGCTTCTGCTTTATTTTTTTCCTCTATCTCTCTACGAATCCGGTCCTGCTCCCTCTGCTTCTGTTCATTGAGAAGCCTCACCCTTTCCTCATCCGCGGTTTTCTTTTGACTGCTCATTCTCTTTTTTTCTTCTTCTTTTTCCTGGAAAAAGAGAGCAACCATAAACAATTAATTAATTAAAAAGGACAAGCACAAACGAACAAGCATTGAAGAGTAATAAAAAATATACCTTCTCCAATATTTGACGCTCAAGCTCTTCTTTGCATTTTTCAATGATGGACTTTCTTGCAAGAAGCCTCTTATGTTCGTTCTCCACTATTCCAGCCAAACTAATGAGACTTTCACCGAGTTTAGACGGCGTTTTCACTGGTGGACAAATATGAATCCTCGCTTTATTTAATGAATCAGCAAGAACACTAAGGTGATCACTTAAGCCATCAGATTCTATGTCCTGCAAAGAGAAATCAGTCATAACCATTAGTGTTCAATCTCATCATGAAGTAATGCATTCAGCACCACAAAAAATATGACATATCCAACAATCCAATTAAATTGTAGCATATATGAAAAATTTGAGGAGCTAAAGGGTTATTACATGTATTCCAAAAGAAAAGGGTATAGCAGTGGAGCACATGCTAATACATATAGTGGGTGATGAGTATCAGTATATTAAAAATAAAATAGAAGTGTTTTCACCATATGTACATTCACTGGAAACACATTAAGAGTACTGTACGCAAACAAGGTGACAATGTGAACCCACTGTGCAAAACCTTCAACAATGTGGTACTGCACACTTGCGTTTCTGGCAGATAAAACACCAAGGAACACAATAGCAGATAAAACAACAAGGAACATAAAATAATGGAGGGCCAATTTAGATCATGAAAAGAAAACGGTATGACAGACATACAGTTATACACAAAGCTTACAACCCAAGAGGAAACTGTGAACAGATAATTTCAGTGCTAGAACACATCAGAACTGCTGATGCACAGAGTCAGGACCACATACCACAGTACCAAAATGAACAGCTCCTGATAAATGATTAACTTTTATAGCAACAAAATTGCGTTTCACAGCATCAACAGAAATCTTCTCCACAACAGAAAAGTCAAAGAAAGGAATCATTCTTGAGAGCATATCAATCTTCATGGACTGGAAAATACAAGAGGCCTGAAAAATGGAACATAAAAACTAAAAGTCATTATTGCAACATATAACAATTATAAAGGTATGTACAAACGTCATGATCTGGATGTTAGTAGCTGAATTCTCACTCTTGGTAGTAGGAAAATTCTTACTCTCATCGAGAGAGGATGACACTAGGAGTTGGGGCAATTTTTCTTGTCTATTTCTCACACAAACTCACACAAATGCCATACCAACCTGAGGGGTTGGGGTTACATATTTATAGGCTGCTAGCCAGCCAAGCATATGCCAAGATGCTAGTCTAAGATGCTAGTCTAAGATGCTAATATGCTGTCCTAGCTAAGATGCTGTCCTCTAGTCTAAGATGCTGTCCTAAAAACAGAAAAACAGCCACAAGGACCATGTGAGCAGCACAGCCCCACAAAGACCAGCCACACATGAGACTTATCCATCATTCTCCCCCTAAGTCTTGTGCGTCGTCTTGTGGGAGAGTTGAACCATCCCAGTCCTGGAGCAGAGCTCAAGGAACTTGATCCTCCCAAGGGGCTTGGTGAGCAGGCCCGCAAGCTGGTCCTTGGTGTTGATGTAGCTCGCCTTGATGCTCCCTTCCTCCAAACAGCCTCGGATGAAGTGGTACCTCACCCGGATGTGCTTGCTGCGTTCGTGGAACACGGGGTTCTTTGCCAAGGCCAGAGCGGACTTGCTGTCCACCCTGAGCTCCACCGCTCTAGTGTCTCTACCGAGGAGATCACCAAGCAGTCGAGCGAGCCAGAGCGCCTGAGTCAAAGCGGTGGAGGCCGCTATGTACTCGGCCTCGCTCGTGGGATGAGGCCACCACCTGCCGCTTGACCGATCGCCGCCACTAATGAGGCACTTGCCGAGGAAGAAGAGGATCCCTTCGTGCTCTTCTTTGGTGTCGATGTCGTCGGCGTGGTCGCCGCCACTGCATTCGACGAAGTGTGCCGCCTGTGGCACCTCGGGTAGTAGAGGCCGTGGTCGAGAGTCCCGCATAACGAAGCGGATGATCCTCTTCACACTTCTTTGGTGCTCGTCGTCGTCGTCGGTCATTGCATGAACCGACTAACGAGCCGACGGAGAATGCCAAGTCCGCCGTGTGTGGGCGAGGTAGCAAAGGTTCCCCACAAGACGCCGCAGATTAAGTGAAGCGCCCACCTCCAAATCATCGTTGTCGCTGGCTCGACTTGACCTCTCCTCCATCGGAGTGAGAGCTGGGTTGCGATCGGTGAGCCCGGCTTAGCTCAACGACGCGCTTTGCGCGTGGCGGTCTGTCAAGCGTGATCCCGAGTCATCTGGTGCACCTCGATTCCTGTGTAGAAGAGAGAGGCCCTGTGTCACTCATTTGGAAGGTGGCCTTCATCTCTTCCTTGAATGCCGCCACCTCCGCATCCTTGGTGTCGGTGATCACCAAGTCGTCGACGACAGACACCCACCAAGCAGAGCATTACCTCCACCGCCCTCGGTCGAGATGGCCGCCTCGTCGCGGGCTTTGCTCAAGCCCATCCCTTTAGCGTGGAATCCAACTTGGCATTCCACGCCCTCGATGCTCGCCGCAAGCCATAGAGGGCCTTGCGAAAGTGAGCACCTTGCCCTCCTTGCCGGGATCGCAAATCCCGTGGTGGTGCACGAGACCTCCTCCTTCAAGTCGCCGTTAAGGAACGCCGACTTGACATCCATGTGATGAACACGCGCGACCTCTCCCGGCGCTAAGCGCGAAGGAGGAGTCGCGAGACTCCATCGGTACACGGAGCAAAAAGGCGTCGTCGAAGTCGACCCCCTCCGCTGCACGAAACCTCGTGCCACCAAGCGAGCCTTGTGCTTGACGATGGCACCCGGCTTCATCCCTCTTGACTTTGTACACCCACTTAAGGGTGATCGCGCGGTGACCACGAGGAAGGTCGCCAAGCTCCCGTGTGTGGTTCTTCTCAACCGCATCCATCTCCAATCGCATCGTGGCGCGCCATGCCACGTGTCTCTAAACCTCTGATACGACCGAGGCTCGCCGCCGTCACACGCGCAAGGTGCAAGCGCGCCTGTGTCGTGAGGCACCGGAGGCACCTACCGTCACCGAGAAGGTTCTCCATCGTGACGGTATCGCAATGACTCGCCGTCGTCGGTGGTGCAGCGTCGATCGCGCGCCTCGTCGTGAGAGAGAGCGAGTAGCGAAGCTCAACCGGGCCGTGCTCGACACGAGCCGGAGTAGACGATGCGGAGAGGTGCTGTCGATGCCGGAGTGCTCGCACTCGTGGTGGAGCCGTGAAGAACTCATCGCGCCGAGGTCCCGGGTGGAGAGCATGGTGCTTTGTTGAGTAGCGTGCACCGGGTCGGTGGAGGCTCGGGGGATGGGGTAGACGCGCGCCGAAGAAGACCCGCCTACTCCCCAGCTCCTCGAAGTGGACGTACTTTCGACAGTGAAGTCGTCGTCGACGTCGGAGCCGAGCCATCGTCCCGCTTGCTTGTCCCACGCCCATCTCGCTTCTTCGCCGAACACAACGTCATGCGTGCGTGCACACACGCCCGTCTTGGTCGAGGATGCGGTGAGGCCTCGAGCCCTCGCGTGAGCCGATGAACACTCCGAGTGCTCTTGTCGCCGAGCTTCTTGATGTGGCCAAGCTCCTTGGCGAACGCGAGGCGTACCAAGACCCGCAGTGGGAGACCGCCGGCTTGCGCCCATGCCAAGCCTCGTCTGACATGATCCCCGCCATCGAAGCGCCTTTGGTAGGCGAAGCGGTTGAGGATGTAGACGGCCGCCACCACCGCCTCTCCTCAAGGCGGCCCGGCATCCCCTCTACTTGAGGAGGGCCCGAGCCATCCCCACAACCGTCTGGTTGCGCGCTGCTCGACGACGCCGCTTCTGCTGCTGGGTCAGACGGTAGCGGAGTAGTGGCGCTGAATCTCCTCAATCAGAAGATGACGACGCGAATTCACCGCCGTGAATTCGCCGCCGTTGTCGGTCTGCTGACCAAGAAGACGCTGCACTTGCGGCGCGACTCGCCTCCGCAGAACTGCGGCGCTACCGATGGCGTCCATGACCTCTCCCTTTGCCGCCGAGGACCATCACCCACATGTAAGCGGAGAGGTCGTCGACGAGCAGCGGGAAGTAGCGTCGTTCTCCTCTCGGTGTGGCGGTGTCACCGGGCCACACAAGTCCCGTGCACAAGCTCGAGCCTCTCCTTGGCTCGGAAAGCTAGCCCCGCATTGTGGAAAGGGGGAGTCGCCCGCTTCGTCAACACGCAGACGCCGCAGAAGTCGCGCCCACATGGTCGAGGCACGGCAGCCTCGCGCACCATCTCCGTGGCACCGAGCCGCTTCAGGGCCTCAAAGTGAAGGTGCCCGAACGCTCGTGCCATCGCCACGCCCGTCGTCCCCGACGAGCATCATCGACAGAGGGTTGTGCCACCGCACGTTAAGGACGTAGAGTCGACGGCGCTCGATACCTTGGCAGAGAAGGCGACGACGACGATCCCAAATCCTCATGACTCCATCCTCAACCACCCGCGCGCGAACCGTTCTCATCCGGTTGTCCCCAAGTCGATGATGGAGTTCCTCAACGCGGGATGTAGTAGACTTCGGTGAGCGGGCATGCGTGCTCACGAGACACTGATGGTGAAGATGACGGAGCCGACGCCCTTGATCTCCACGCCGGAGGCATCCCCAAACTTGACGGAGCCTCGGACGCTAGAGTCAAGCTCGGTGAAGAACTCCGTCGACCGGTCATGTGATGGGGTGGCGCGGTGTCGAGGCACCACCCGTCCGGCCTTGTCGTTGCCGGAGTCATCGCCGAGGAGGCGCGGTGCTTTTGGCTCGTCAAGGTGGAGGAGAGAGCCGCGGCCGCGGTGGAGGTAGCTCGATCTTGGCATGTGCCATGAACAAAGGCGCTCCTCCTCCTTTGTCAGGCGACGTGGGCCGGCGCGTCGTGGTTGTCGACGAGCCCTTGGCCCAATGCATGGCTGGCCGCAGATTATGAGAGGTGTCGTCTCGCGTCGGCTTGTGCTGCCGCCGGGCGCCGCCTGGCGCCTCCGCGGGCATCACCCTCTAAGACGTCCTCGCGCCCGGCACTGGCGTCTCTACGCGCTTTGCGCGCGGCTTTACACGCTATGCGGCCGCCTGTCGCGGAAGAAGGCTCCCCCTTCCTCCGGTCACCTTGGCTGGCAAGCCACTGCTCCCGAGTGAGAAGGAGCTTCCCGCCAATGGTGATGGGCCCCGAGAGGGATCGTGGCTCATCATTGCCGGCGACCTTGAGGCGACCTATCGCCTCCTCGATCGACATCGTGGAGAGATCCAGCAGAGACTCGATCGAGCGAGCCATCCGCTTGTACTTCTCGGGGACGATCGAAGAGCTTTTCGGATGACTCTCTCCTCGCCGTAGGTGTCGTCGCCGAATCGCACCATCTACGCAATAGAGTGTTGAGACGGAGAGCAAAGTCATCAACGTCCTCACCGCTTGAAGGCTGGTTCTCCCACTCCTTGCGGTGCTCGTAGTGTGGACTTCGCGGGCGATGTCGCTGCCGCGCGCTTGCGTGACGATGGCGCCCCAAGCCTCCTTGGCAAATCGCTGTCGGTAAGCGAAGAAGCGCATCTCGGGCGGGGCTCGCGGCGATGAGAGCATCCAAATACCATCGATCTAGGTCGTAGTCGACGTCGCCGTGCACCGGACCGCCTCCCACATGTGCCGCGCACTGGAGCTTTACCCTCATCACCGCATGACCCCACTCGGCGAAGTTGGTCTTGGTGAGGGTAGGCCACCCACCACCGCGGGACCAACGCCCACGACAACGACTGGAGCCCGTGGTAACCACTTCACCGATCCGGGAGAGAGAGCCACGCCGCTGTGAAGGCCACGCTCTCCATCGACCCGTCGGTACCAATCCGGAGAGAGCCACGCCGCTCGTGGAAGGCCGCGCTCTCCATCGACCCGCCCGCCACCGTTCTTGCGGCGCGCCTCCTCCAGAGCGCGCCGCGCGCGTCATCCGCCTGTCTGGCCGCCGCGCGCGTGGCGTCGCGCACCTCCTCGAGCGCCGCCGGCAAGGCGTCCACGCTGTTCTGGCTGCCGCCACGCTTCGTGGCGTCTGCTTCACGCGCGCTGCCGCCGCGCCGCCGCCGCTGTTCCCTCTCTAGCAGCGGCGAGGTCGCGTCGGCGGTGTCGTCGATGGAAATGGAGTCGCCAATCTTCGCCGCCAGAAACCTCGACCTCCGCTGCCGCCAGCCGTTGCCGCGCGCCGCGCCGCATTGCTTCCGCCTGGCTTCCGCTGCCGCCGCTCCGCCATTGCCGACCTCGGCACGCTACTTGCCGACGCTCGGCGCTCTGCTGCGCCGCAATGATCTCTGCCGCCCTTCGTTCGCGTTCCTCTGCTGCGGCAAGTTGGCCTCTCGCCGACGCCGCAGCGTGCTCGAGGCGATCGAAGGCCGAGATCGACTCTGCGGACATGACGTGCTACACTGGGGGCTGCTTTGCATGGGAGAGAGTTGCGCCAGACGATTTGTTGCTTTCGTCTCTGCATGGGAGGAGTGAGCAGAGGCTGCGGAGGAGCTTGCTTTCATGTTGGGGGCAAGTGTTGGTGGTGGGAGGGAGATGAGCAGGAGATGCTCAAAGCTCTGAGGATAATACTGACTCTCGATATCGGTTGTTAGTCATTTGAATTCTCACTCTTGGTAGTAGGAAAATTCTTACTCTCATCGAGAGAGGATGACACTAGGAGTTGGGACAATTTTTCTTGTCTATTTCTCACACAAACTCACACAAATGCCATACCAACCTGAGAGGTTGGGGTTACATATTTATAGGCTGCTAGCCAGCCAAGCATATGCCAAGATGCTAGTCTAAGATGCTAGTCTAAGATGCTAATATGCTGTCCTAGCTAAGATCCTGTCCTCTAGTCTAAGATGATGTCCTCTAAGATGATGTCCTCTAGTCTAAGATGCTGTCCTAAAAACAGAAAAACAGCCACAAGGACTATGTGAGCAGCACAGCCCCACAAAGACCAACCACACATGAGACTTATCCATCACTGGACCTGTTGTAGCCCTCTCAATGTTGTCAGCTTCTCCAATGCTGAAATGTACTGAGACAGCTTAACCTCTGGAACAGAAGAAGCTGATGAAAGCTTCCTTCCAATCTTTGAAATCTTCGAAAGAAGTGGCTGCACTTTTGATGCAAGGTCCAGAGGCAGAAATTCATGTTCCAAAAGGTTGTACAAATCTCGCACTTCTTGGGAAGCACATGAAAGGACTCCTTTGGAGGCCTACAAGCCATAAAAATAGATAGATATTGATAGCTATCTATGACAGCAAGAGATGACAATGTTTTCGTATTTCATATATCCACTGACAACGGTAAAAGTGGAATCATGTTAAGTGCTACTAATAAGCAGTTACTTATATAACATAAAAATAACACTAGTAGCACAGTGCCTCAGAAGAAAGCTATTTGAAAGTCTCATGGCCATGCTGAACCATTTAGGCCTTGTTTGGATACCCTTGTATCTATCTCAATCCACTCGTGTTGAGGTGGATTAGGGTGGAACTTAAACTAATTTACACTCTAATCCACCTCAACACATGTGGATTGAGGTTAATATGAGAGTATCCAAACAAGACCTTAATGTAAATAGAATATCACACGCATTAAAATAATTCTTCCTGTGGAAGACATCTTTCTAGAGTGATAAAACAAAATAATAATAATAATAATAATAATAATAATAATAATAATAATAAACAAAATTGCTCAAAAAGGAATGCATGTGATGACAGAGACCACATCCGAAAAAATAGATAACACAGCTGCAGGAATAACAGTATGATTAAGCATGTACCAACTCAGATAGAAGAGATGCTCTTGAAGGCTGCAAAAGGGAAAGCCTATAGATCAGGGTGGAAAAGTGCTACTGAACATACTATTTAATTCACACACGGTTTGGAGAACAAACCATTTCCCTATTTTCACGCTTGGAATCAAGCGAGAAGTTAACAAGGTTGGCCATCCGCATGCTACGCTCCTTCTCATTCTCTGTCTCAAGATGAGATGCACCATATTTTTGGTCATAAGGTGCCACAGATAGTGCAGCAAGTAAGACGGAAGATGCTATTAATTGTAGGTCCTTCTGAGACAAGTTTTTATTGTAGCTCTTTTGCAAGTTGAAAAGCTTGAGCCACGCATACGCATGATAAAGGTGGCTGCCAGATATCCAGAAGATTTCAGTCAACTTTGCATAATACACCACCAAGATAGAAGGTTTTGGCATTTTCTTCACCATGCTCATCAAACCATGGATATCTTCCACCGATCGGAAGGCTTCCTGCAAGATGGTATGTTCAGTGACAATTCAAGGAATGTAGCACTTATATGGATAAAGAATTGATTAAAATTCATAAGTTATGGAACAAACCTGCGAAAGGGAAAGCTCTGTAGCAACTTTAAGCTGCTCAACACGTGTATCAAGATACAGTTGTAAACTTTCAGGTGCAGTCAGATCAGGACGATCTCTTTGATCACGATATTTGTTGAGATTAGCAAGATGATTTCTGATAATCTCACACAACCTACAGAATTCAGTTGTTCTCTTATACTGTTTGCAGAATTGAAATGCCCTATGAGCAGTCATCTGCATATTAGGAAGTTAATCAGTCACAAAAGCTACTCATAAGTATTTGCTGGAGCACAAATCGTACAAGGAATAAATCAATATACAAGTAAACGGTAGGTACATGATCCCATAAGAAAGTCAGTAATGCCAAGCCATTTAACCAAAATATCAGACAGTACATTAAACTATTGAGTTCACAAGATATGTTTTGAGAGGTTGGATACCATTTAATAGCAAAAAGGCTGAATTCAGATAAAAATTGGTTGAATGGCCACATACATCTGAATAGAGTGGTTGTTAAATGGATAGAGACAAAAAAAAGGTGTAAATTCAATAATAAAAACTATGCAAATGGTAATGTGCTGTACCAATATCCTGGAAAAACTATGCGCCACATACAAAGTAAATTCAATAGAAACAAACAATAGAATGCTCATAAGAGAATAGCTTACAGCATATAACGCTTCAAGCTTTGAATTGTTCCTTAGTATCTCTAGAACAGTCCTGTATGTCTCCCAGAGGAACTTAAACCATGGAGTTACAACTTCTTTATCTGATCGGTCCTTTCCTTTCTCCCCACTAACAAAACTGAGCATGAGGTCCTCGGGACGCTTGTCTGCTTCCAGATCTTCAACATCCAGAGCATCTTCCAGGGCTTCTGCCTGACTCTTAGCTTGTTCAGCTCTCTCATTGGAAAGCTGCATGAAGTGCTTTATGACATCCTCCAAAGATGACACGTTCACTTGCTGGCAGACAATCCTATACTGAATAAGACCATCTTTTGCATATCTACCTTTCCTCAGGTCTACACAGAGTTCTACATACTTCATCATGATCTTTTCGAGAGGCTTCTGCCATGACCTGTACCTTTTCGAGGTAATGAGATCATGTAAAGCCTGCAGGGCTGCCTGCTTTTGCCCAACATGGATTAATTCTGAAATAAAAGCAGAGGAAGCGATCAGCATACACATCTTTTACGCCAATACAAGTAGATGCCTAAGAATTTGCAACCATGTTCAGAACAATATCAATACAAAATCACTAATTGTACAGATATTCTGACAACAAATCGAAACCAGATTATAGATAAAATAAAAGTGAGGTCAAAACTCTTGGGGTTTCTATTTTCCTTTTTTGCCAAACTTATTACTGGTCCTCGTGGAGAAGGCAATAACAAGTAAAAACATGGATATAAGAAAAAAGTAATATCATTGGTCAATTCAGTATCCAATGGAAGTCTTAAAACTAAAATGGCATGGCTTAGCATTATTATTATAACATGCAGGGGCAAAGCTGAGTAGCAGCTTGTGGGGTAGAACTGCACCCCCAGAATTTTCGTTTTCAATTGTTATCCCAATTTCTCAGCCCTTCATGCGCCACCACCAACCCCACAGCCCAAAATACTGCACCCCCAGCCCAGTGAACAGCACAATTGAGATAGGCAACCCCGTGACTGAATTGTTCACTGGAGAGAAAAATCATCGTAGCCCAAAGACCATCCGCATCCGGCATCTGCTACTGTGTCTTTCCCCTCCGTTCATCTCCTCCCATCGTTGCATTTGCATACAGGAGTCACCCATCTAGCCCGGCGACGGTCTCGCGGGACTGTCTGCATGGGCGCCAACCACTAGCCATCGTGCCTCCCTCACATGCCTCCAGCATCCGCTATCCTCATGCGGCCAGGCCTGCAACTATGACCGCCTCAGCTACGATACAGCATGGTAATGTGGCCAGTCAGTCACCCATCGCCGAACTCGGTGCCGCCCGACTCCAAAATACACGATAAAGAAATCAGAGAAGATTCGATACTGAATTGGTGAAAGTTGGGATTGAGTACATTAGTTCTACCTACCTGTAATGCACTCATTTTATCATTTCCTAGTTTGACAATCATTACAAAAAATACATGCTTTTATAGATTGGGGGCCTGGTGCAAGCGGTAGAGTCTTACCGCCTGTGACCGGAAGGTCCCGGGTTCGAGTCGCGGTCTCCTCGCATTGCACAGGCGAGGGTAAGGCTTGCCACTAACACCCTTCCCCAGACCCCACACAGAGCGGGAGCTCTCTGCACTGGGTACGCCCATATAAATTATTAGGAATCAGTACATGTCTTAGATTTTACATTTAAGTGGCCTACTAAGCACATTTTGATTGAGGGAACCATTTTTATTAAAGGAAAACAACATAGCCAGATAATACCAACAATGCTACAAGGTCAGTAACCGATATTAATAGTGAACTTCATTTTGGTAAACATTTTTATCACTTCATTATTCTCACTCTAAGGTATTGCAACACTGCTTAGCAAGTTTTTTTAAATGGCAGCCACAGTCACAAGAATTCTCAAATTCCAGCCTTCCTAGTCGTTTCCAGGTAAATTAAATAAATCATTTTTATGGTGCATAAACTTCACAAGATCCTATCTAGTGGAGTGGGATTTGATCCCTAGATCTCGTACAATACAGGGTTGGACGCTTTTCACAAATTATTAAAGATAGGCGCAGGCACATGTTATAGGACTCCGATATACATTGTACTCCATTCCAAATTATAAGATGTTTTGGCTTTCCTAGATTCATAACTTTTTCTACGCATCTAGATACATGTTATGTCTAGATTCATAGTAGAAGCTATGAATCTAGAAATGTCAAAATATCGTTTATTTGGGACGGAGGGAGTAGCATTTATAAAAAGGTATTTCTACCTGAAATTTTTGTTCACCTATGCAAAAACCCAAAAATCACGAATTCCTTTAGAAATTTGATCCAAAATTTGAACTCCTCTTGTACCCCCTCCTCTATTTCTCTCAAAGTTCAGCTAGGCGCTAGGCGGAATCTAGGCGCTAACCCATTGCCTAGCGCCTAGTCGGGAGTACTTGGTCCTAGGCGCTCCTAGGCGTTTTCCTAGGCGTTTTGGCAATATAGCATAAATATAAATTATATATATATATATATATATATATATATATATATATATATATATATATATATATATATATATATATATATATTATGTATATAACTAGTAGTTAGTAAATTAGTCAATAGACACTATTTGTTCATATAAAAAATAGAAAACACTAAGTTGTGACTTATCTGGATGATTTTTGACCTCCCATCCATGAGCACACCGATCGTGGAAGCTGGTAATTACAATACAAGTGGATAGGACAGTAATACAAGTGCACAACACACAGGCGGATCTGCAGCCCAGCCTCTAGGGCCCAGCCCTAGTCGTTGGGCCATCAACACCACATACCCCATGTAGTTTCAGCTCAATAATGAAGGCCTGTAACAGCAGCAAACCTAACCTCGAGCCTCTCTGCTCCTATCCGCCTCCCTCCGTCCCTCGACGAGCGAAGAAGCCAAGAACCGCACCCACGCCACGCCACAGACGGAGGAGGCGAGGAGAGCTCGCCAGCCACTTGTCGGCGCCACCTAGCCTAGACAGTCACTGCGCCAAGACGCCATTTCATGGCGCACTAAGCCCTCCCGCCGCACCACGCCTCAGCGCCCATCCCATCTCTGCCCCGAGATCCCGCCCGGCATCCCAGCAGCGCAAGGTGCGGGCCACACACACCATGCAGAAGGGCCGGCCGCCGTCCTCGCCTCCAGTGCTCCAGCTCCAGTTGGCTCGAGCTCGGCGGCGGCTGGCCTCGCCCCTCCAATACCCAGCTCCAGCCCTTTGGCGCTCTCGCGCCGCCTAAGCCAATGATGCGCGATTATGCCCTTTAGTCGGCGGCGACGGCTTCGCCAATGATTACTAAGCAGCGAAGTCGCCGAGTAGTCGCCGCCTAGCCGAACTTTGATTTCTCTCTAGCTTCACCACCAATTACATGACACAATTCATCAAAACAAAAACAAAAAATCAATGGGTCAAATTACCCCATGTAATGAGACAGAATAGACAACTGGCTAATATTTGCTTGTATGCAGTAGCCGAGGCTCACCTATCTAATGGAACAACATCAATGTAGCCAATGGTCCAACTTCCAAACTAACCTAACATTTAGAACATACCACTCAATGGCTTCGTCAGCAGTAAACATTTCCTATCCAATCAAAGCAAGTAACAAACACATCATCTTCACACTATCCTAATTCAAGTGCCTAATAAATCGTGCATGCTGCAGGCATAGCTTCAGCACTACCGCGACAACAACCACCTGCAGATAAAAATCGAGCCAAGTTCCAGCGACTCACCTTCAGCTCTCTTGAGTGCGTTCTCAGGTTTCGCGAAAGTAGCCATGGTCGCAGCGAGGGTTCTGTGGCGGCGATCTACTCCTGCTCCTGCACCACACCAACAATTAGGGGCGGATCTAGTAAAGGCGTGTACACCCGATAATTTTTGCAAAAAGTTAGAAGTTATTAGTAGGCATCAAACAGCCAAATGGTTTGAGGCTAAGAATTTGGGAACTCGGTTTCGCACAGCAGATAGGGAAGAGAAGGGGGTTGGAACTGGGAATACCTGGTGGGCGCTCTTCGCCAGCGAAGAGATCGGCGAAGGCCTCGGCACCTGGCGTAGGGCGGCGGCGGTACCCCACCCAGTCGCCGCATTTAGAGAGGGAGAGAGAGAGCGCGCACGGCGGCTGCGCCGGGAGGAGAGGCGGAGGCTGGCGGTTAGGGTTACTTCGCAGTATATATATGGGCCTGGTTGTAGTTGGGCCTTTAACAGGCCTTCGCCCTTCTCCTTCCAAGCTGAGATGCGTATGTAGCTGTACGCATATGCAGATGCAGCGGCTTAGCGGGCTGGTTAACGGTGAATAGGGCGGGAGGAAAGTTGTATAACTCGAGTCCGCTCGTTAATAGCTCAATTCGATTTATTTGGCAATAAAAAAATCGATTTATTTGCCTTTTATTTTTATATTAAACGAACTGGGATAATTTTTTAGCTCGCGTATGCTCCAATCCTTAGCGCACGTTAGAGCATCCCGTCACTCTCGGCCATTCAGTTCAGAGTTCGACAGGGCCTTAACACCCCCCTTCTCATTACTACTCGTTTGTAACCCCACAGCAAACTTCGAGTATCTGGGCTTAGTAATAAAGTCATTGATCGACTAAAACTGGACGTAGGGCACGTTGCCTAAACCAGTATAGATCATATGTCATCGTGTGCTAGGCCACATCTGTAACAGAAGCGGCCAATTATATGAAATTAAGTAAGAAAATCGCCCGACAGAGCAGACGATTTAGCAAACTTAAGCCCGTATAACCCGGGAGTCCGTGAAATCAAGAAGGATTTCAAACCAACTCACATACCAGCCAAGATCATAATAAGTTTAGCGGTCACCATCACATATTACATAAAAGTTCGCATCACAGGTACATCGGAGTTTAAACATAGTTATTACAACACGAGTTCAAATAGAAGTAGCGGAAGCCATTTGTTCAAAACCACACACACTCACACGGAGTTCAAATACAGTGACAGCTGATGATCATCTCCAACAAAAGTATTAGATGAGACGTAAGGAATGACCACGCCCATGGTCCTAAGCATCAACCATTGTAGGATAAAGGCAGTTGATACAGTAGCCGTAATACATCTGTCTATCTGCAACAAGTGGGAACAAAACCCTGAGTACGAGAAGGTATTTAGCTAGACTTATCCGATATAACCGAAAATAAAGTGACACCAAGGATTATGAAGGGCTTTATAGTAGGGTAGCTGACTCATTTGCAAAAAGGCATTTTTAGCATTTCAAGAACATTTTCAAATGTATTATTGTCAAGTTAATTATTATTAACCTGTCGACTACATTTGCACCTATACTAGAGCAAACATGTGATTAAGCAAATAATGATAACCAATGATCATTAACAACTTCCATAATATCATATCTATTATAATTGTCCAAGTGTTCCAACAATATTACTACAATGAAGTAACTCAAGTCAAGTATTCACTATCCAGTGAACGATGGCGATTCAAATCGATTATTAACCAGCTACTAATTTATTCCTTACACAAACCCCACTCACCCGCTAAAGTGAGGTATCGGTCATCGAGTCAACTATCTAGGAAAAATCTCGAGTTTGTCAGGAACCACATGTACCCGGGGGCCGACCGACTGCCTTTTGGTCTTATCATCGCGCCCCCGTGTCCTACCACACCTGCTCCGGTACAGTGCACTGCGGGCAATCCACTCAGCCCGAATAATCTCTCAGCTTCGTGGTCGAAAGGTACGTTATTCGGCCAGCTAAATGTAAGGCATGCGTTCAACATGACCCGAGGCCCAACAACGGTCAGTCCTTAATCGACACAGACGGAAAGCACTACGGTCCAAAACCCTGTAAGTCTTCGTCCGGTCTCAACTTCAAATTAACATTTAGTTATACCATGACTACATAATTATCCGAGCAGATCCAGGTAAGCACCTATAGCTCGCAGGTGACAGGAAAATTACCTGACTTCTACCGGTCTAAGCCAGCTAAGCATTGACTCGACTGCGGATACCAGAGTTACAAGGATATAGTATAACAAAGGTAAACAAGTTATAATGCAGCAACGGTTGCAAACAACTCTGAATGTAATGCATTAATTAAAGTAAAACGTTAATTAATAATCGCAAACCAGGGAGAAAAATGCTCCGGGGCTTGCCTCTCTCGAAGGAGCTCGGGCGATGATCGGGGCACTCCGGAAGTTCCTCAACGTCCTCCTCGTCTGCTTCGGTCACTTCTTGCGGCTACACCTCGAGCTGCTCCTCGGGCTCCTCGGGTACGACGACCGAGCTCTCGGTTTACGATCCTGTATGATGCAGGTGCGTAAGTGCTTATGCAAAAGCTGCATCGGATAAAATGAACACAATGAATATGCTTGCATGCAAGGTACATGAGCATGATTCGCTTCAATGGGGAGAGTATAATATAAATCTCATACAAGGTAGTCAACATCATCCAAGAACATGTACTATAAGCACATGTCACCTACTGCATTCTCTTCTACTACTAATATGCTAAGTCAACACATCTCATTAAATGCTTTAAAGATACACCAAAGCTTCACTAACTTCTTAATCATGCATAAAGCAACATTTGATTAAACCCTAATTAATAATAGGTTTGAATAGCAACATCTATTTTTATAGCATAGAAAAATCTTAGAAAACTGCCATGGCACAGTACTACCCTAAGTAGTCTACCATCAAATTTTTATGGCATTTGGATAAGTGGAATAGCCTACACAAAAATGACAAGCTTGGACCTAAATATGAGCATGAAAATACTTTGTATTATGAAAAGTGTCAAACAATAGATTTAGTATTTTTCCTATGATCTTCATAGCATACAATCACTGTACAAAAATTATCACATGCATGTTTTATACAAATTTTGCTCTCTAGCAAAAATAACAAAAATCAGCCATTAAAGACACTTGAACTACACCTCATATTTTTTCTACAAGACATGCATGGCATATATTTTTCACAGAAAGTACATCTCAAGAATAGATCAACCAAATTGGAATCATAATTTTCTGATACATATAGGATTTACTAAACCTTTCACAAGATATCAGCAATATCAAGAATTAAATAAAGCCCTACATTAAAGTATCTCAAAAATGACATGCAATATTTTTATAATGTAGATCTGGTGACAAGAAACACAACAAAATTTGTTTCATCAATTTTGGAGGAATATAACTCGAGATATACATTTTACAAGCTTTTCAAATCAATTTTTGAAATCATTTTCTTTAAAACTGAAATTCCACCGACCCAAAACTGCTAGGTGTACCCGGTGCAGTGCACCCAGAGGTGCTGCCAGGCGGGACCCGTGGTTAATCTGGGCCCACGCGTCAGTCGAAACCAAGCAGGGGCCATCGCTAACCGGCCGACTTTCACCGCCGGTGAGCTCGCTGGCGGTGAGGTCACCACCAGGGGCTCCCCGCAACGAGGCGGACCCGATGCGCTAAGAACGGACACTGGAGGAGCTCGGAAGGGAGCTCGGCGGTGCGCATGGTAGAGCGGTGGCGCGGCTCATCAGCGGTACGCCGACTCCGGCCACGGTAGGGCACGGGGAGGCGCGCATGAGGTTCGCGGGGGCAAGGCGGTGCTAACGCGCGCGAAAACGGAAGGAAAAAGGGAGCGAGATGGGGAGATCCACGGAGCCTTACTGCTCCGGCGAGCAATAGCGGCTGGCTCGAGCCTTACCACATCGAATGGAGACGAGCACAAGCTACGCGAGGTGGAGGTCGAGCTGCTGGAGAGATGGAGCGGCCTACGGCGAGCAGTGATGGCCAGGCGAGTCAATTCTGGCGAGGCAGCGTGGCAGTGGCGGAGGCGAGTGTGCACTGCTGCCATTGCTGCTGCTGACCGAGCGAGGGAGAAAATAAGATGGAGGAGGGGGAGGCAGACGCGGCGTGGCGGGTGTAGGCGCGACAGGAGGGGCGCGGGGCAGGCCGGCGGTGCCGCACGGCGAGCTCGCCGGTGCATGGCCACCACGTGACGTGCCCGCTCTAGCTAGGTCGGGCGAGTGCGCGGCGAACGGGCGCGGCGCGCGGGAGCAGGAGCGCGGCGCGGAGGTAGGCCGGGCCGGCCTGTGCGGCTGGGCCAAAAGCGAGGCGCGAGGCCCATTCAAGGAAAAATGATCTTTTTCAAATTCTTTTCTCTCCCAAATTCATTCAAAATGAATTTTCGAACTTTTTCAAAGCAGTTTCAAACTTTGGCCCAAAAATAAAAGTTGCTCAAAAATTTATTTTCTACAACTTTGCTTTTAGGGACCAACTAAAAATTTTGCATATATTATGAATTGGGAAGTAAAAGCTAAATATGGAGGATTTTTGACCATTTTCAATAATAATTTCAAAAGCATATTTTGTCAAAAGTTTGAATACAAACTTTGCTCTAAAAATTGTGCTTAATAATTCTAGATGATTTACAATTATAGCCAAACATGTTTTATTAGCCTAGCAAGCATAATTAGGGCAAAAATAACTCTAAACAAGTGTATGCAACATTCATGTTTCACGAGCATGTTTCATATGTTTCAAAGCATTGTTTCAGTTATTATTTACATGATTAGGCATGTATAATTAGGATGCTTGATGATGCATAATATGCATAATTTGTAGTGCCTAAATGCTTGCATAACACCGGGGTGTTACAGCCCTCCCCCCTTATAAAAATCTCGTCCTGAGATTTATGTTACGAACCATTTGTTGTAAAAATCTTCATAAGCTTTTTGTAGATATTCTCTCGTTTCCCAAGTTGCATCCCCCTCATCATGATGATTCCACTGTATCTT